GCTGGAAGTGGAGCTGTAGAGAACTAACCTTGAGCAGAAAAAAACAAAACCAAGAACACTTCAGGGACAGCACCCAGGTCCTGAATTCAAGTCCCAAAACTGACATTAAAAAAAAAAAAGAGGACTGGGAAGGTGGCTCAGTGGTAGAGCACCTGCCTTGCATGCATGAAGCCCTGGGCTCGATTCCTCAGCACCACATAAGCAAAAAGAAAAAAGCTGGAAGTGGCGCTGAGGCTCCAGCGGTAGAGCGCTAGCCTTGAGCTGAAGAGCTGAGGGACAGCACCCAGGCCCAGAGTTCAGGCCCCACAACTGGACTCCCCCTCCCCAAAAAAAAGAAAGAAAGAAATAGAGGAGTATAGTTACCTAGGGGAGTCCTCAGTCTGAGAGAGGGCAAATGTCTTTGGGAAGCCTGATTCAGAAGGTAGCTCCTCTTTCAATGCAGATCCAGATGTGGCTTCACGGTGACTTGATAAGAAGCCTAGTCTAGATCTGATGCGCTCATTCCTCCTACCTCAGGTCATCTACAAGAAGTTCCAAGTGCCCTGTCCTCTGCCATCCAACTTGACCAATGGCACAGGCAACTTCAGCCACGTGGAGGTGATGGAGGAGAACACACATCTGCAGGCAGAACTTGACGCTGCTGCTCTCTGTACCCCAAGCTACTTCACCCTCAACTCACAGGTTCTGAGAGGCCAGGCCAGGGATGGAGGTTGGGAGGAGGTTGATGGGTGGAGGCCTTCCTTGACCAGGTCTCACGTGTCCCCAGACAGCATATACCATCCCCATCATGGCCTTCGCCTTCGTCTGCCACCCTGAGGTGCTGCCCATCTATACGGAGCTCAAGGAGTAGGTGTCTACAGCTGATCGGGGGCGGGGAGGGAGGATAGGGCAGAGCAGGCCTTGAGCTGACTTGGGAGAATGCATGTGATCTTAGGTTGTATGTTGGTTAAGGAGGGGTGGACCTAAGTCATCTGATCTTAGAGCTCTGTAGCTGCCACTAGAAGAGATCACCCTGGAGTATATCTGGGCCTTCCAGTGTGGCCCATCTGCTTACCAGGCACCTCTTCCCCCTACCCTCATACACAGCCCTTCCAAGAAGAAGATGCAACACATCTCTAACCTGTCCATTGCTGTGATGTATGTCATGTACTTCCTGGCCGCCCTCTTCGGCTACCTCACCTTCTATGGTATGGCTGGACCAATGGGGGGCAAGGGAGGAGGCCATGATGGAAGGCAGGGTCCCCCCCAATGCACACACACACACTCTGCATGCCACCATTCCCTTCCTAGCCTACTGACCCCCTCCCACTCCCTGCCCACCACAGACAGAGTCGAGTCAGAACTGTTGCACACCTACAACAAAGTGGACGCATTCGACGTGCTCATCTTGTGTGTGCGTGTGGCCGTGTTGACAGCAGTGACACTCACAGTACCAATCGTTTTGTTCCCGGTGAGCCCAGATGGCTGGTGGTTGGAGCTGTGGATGTGGAGGGAGAGAAGGGTCACAGATGGAGGCTCATGTATGTATGGCTTTTCCCACCTGCTCTAGGTACGCCGAGCTATTCAGCAGATGCTGTTTCAGAACCAGGAGTTCAGCTGGCTGAGACACGTGATCATTGCCACTGGCTTGCTCACTTGTATTAACTTGCTGGTTATCTTCGCCCCCAACATCTTGGGCATCTTTGGGATTATTGGTAAGAAGCTGATCTTGTTTTAGAAGTTAGGGATCATGCCGGGCACTGGTGGCTCACTCCTGTACTCCTAGCTACTCAAGAGGCTGAGATCTGAGGATCACGGTTCAAAGCCAGCCCAGGCAGGAGAGACCGTGAGACTCCTATCTCCAATAAACCACCATAAAACCAAAGTGGCGCTGTAGCTCAAGTGGTAGAGCACTCGCTTTGAGCTGAAAAGCTGAGGGACAGCGCCCAGGCCCAGAGTTCAAGCCCCACGACTGGACCCAAAAAAAAAAAAAAAAAAAACAATCAAAGTCAGCCCAGGCAGACAAATCCAAGAGACTCTTATCTCTCATTAACTAGTGAAAAGCCAGAAATAGAGGTGTGGCTCAAATAGTAGAAGTTCCAGCCTTGAAGCCGGGCGCCGGTGGCTCATGCCTGTAATCCTAGCTACTCAGGAGGCTGAGATCTGAGGATCATGGTTCAAAGCCAGCCCGAGCAAGGGAAGTCCGAGAGACTCTGATCTCCAATAAACCACTAGAAAACCAGAAGTGGCACTATGGCTTAAGCAGTAGAGCACTCGCCTTGAGCTGAAGAGCTGAGGGACAGCGCCCAAGCCCAGAGTTCAAGCCCCAGGACCAACCAAAAAAAAAAAAAAAGTTCCAGCCTTGAGCAGACAAGGCTAAGCAAGAAGTGTGAGGGCCTGAGTTCAACCCAGTACTGGCACACACAAAAAAAGTGTGGAGGGGAGTGTATTATTTCTTGGAGCCCCAGAATCAGACAGCATAAAACTCTCCTGATGAGAAATGTTTGATCTTATTTCTTTCTTAATTTTTTTTTTTTTTTTTGCCAGTCCTGAGGCTTGAACTCAGGGCCTCAATACTGTCCCAGAGCTTCTTTTGTTCAAGGTTAGCACTCTACCACTTAAGCTACAGGGCCACTTTTGACTTTTTCTGTGTCTGTGGTACTGAGGAATCAAACCCAGGGCTTCATGCATGCTAGGCAAGCACTCTCCCACTGAGCCACCTTCCCAGCCTGGAATGTTTGATCTTCCTGAAGGATCTGCCCGCAAACTTTAATCCATGATCTTTATAGGGGCCACCTCTGCTCCATGCCTCATCTTTATCTTCCCTGCTATCTTCTACTTCCGAATCATCCCCACTGAGAAGGAGCCTGCTAGATCCACACCCAAAATCCTGGTTCGTAGGGGGTTGAAGGCTGGGAGGCTGGTGTGGGGCTGGGAAGGGGTGGGGGGTGAGGTCTCTAGACCTTTGATGTGATTCCCATTTTTGGATTCCACAGGCTCTTTGTTTCGCCGTGGTTGGCTTCTTACTAATGACCATGAGCTTGAGCTTCATTATCATTGACTGGGTCTCGGGGACCAGCCGACATGGAGGAAACCACTAAGGATGACTTCCATCTACTTCTGTCTACACATTCTAGCACCCCTGGTCCAGACTCTCCAAGCCCCTGCTCCCATCCTGTGGCCAGGTTGGAGGGGGGGGTGAAGAGGGGGGGAGGAGAAAGACAAGGGAGACAGACTCATAAACACCAGGGCCTTTGGCCCTGCCCACATCCTCTTCTGTGGAAGGTTTTTGTTAAAGAGCCAGGAGCAAGGCCCTTCGGCCACCACCTGCTGAGATCCTGCGCTGCAGGGGGGCTTCCTGAGCAGGGAACAGGGTGGGGTTGTGGCCTCAGATCTCACCCAAACCCTTCATCTCCCCCACCCCCTCCCACAGCTGCATACACTGAAGTACAACATCTGGCTATTTAGGTGGTCCAGAAGCCTACTGGGACACTTAGAACTGGAACCCAGAGCTGGAAACCCAGCCTCCCCCCAACACCCCCTTCATGGCCAGAGTTGTGCCCCAAGAGGGCTTCTGTCCCCCAGCTCATTATTATTCCCTTTCCTCCTTTTTAACCTTTTGGCTCATTTTAGAAAACTTGGACCAAGTGGCTCTTCTTGTCCTCTTCTATCTCCTTCATAAGAGGGGCTCTTCCATACCCCATAGCTTGGGCCAGGAGGTTCTGCTGTGGATGGGGTATACATCTCCAAAGGGGTCACTGCCCCTGTCCATTCACCAGTCCCAGGGAGGCTGGGACTCCCAAACTCAATTCCTGGATCCATATCTCACATTCCACTACTAGGAGAAGAAAGGCTGAGCCCAGAGTCTATCCTGCCCCTGGGAACCAAAGATCCCCTGCGCCCCAAGACTGGGACAGGGGTGGGGAGGCTAACGGCCCTCTTTTATAAATATTATACAGAAGACAAGTTGTGCTTTTTTATATTCTTGGTCTCCATGGTCTGTGGGTTCCTGGAAAGCAGGGTGGGGATTCAGGATACATATGGTAATAGAAACACACACACACACACACACACACACCCCATCTTCTTGCCTGAATGAGGGTCAAGCAGGGGAAGACCCCCACTCACTCAACCTTCCTGCCTTCCAGACCAACCAGTGGAATGCTCAGACCCAGCTCTGGAGCTAGGCCAAGCTCAGCACAGACCTGCTTTCTCACGGGGTGAGGTGGGGAGGAATTAATGAGGCCCCAGGAAGTGGGACAGAGAGAGGCCTCCAGAAGCAAGCAACGTGAGGTGCATCCCCAGCAGTTCCAGAGAGGGTCTGAGCTGGGGGGGGACAGCAGAGCCATGCAGAAGCCCCAAGTGGGCCTCCTACCTTTCCCTGACTCCCCAATTACTGTGTCAACCTTCTGCCAGGAGACCAAAAAGAAAAGAAAAAAATCCAGGGAGCTAAAATCTTTATTGATAGTAAAATCTACTATGAATAAAGATGAATGAGTGAGTCCTTGGAATGGGGTGGGGGGTCTCTGAGTGGCTGGGAGAAGGAAAAGGCAAAGGCAAGGCAGGCAGGGGCTACAGGGAGTCGTGGCCTGAGCATCAGGTGCCCTGGCCTGGGCCCAGGAGGCAGAGGAGACTGGGAAACTGCCCACTGCCTTGAGCAGGCCTAAACCAGCTGAATCACAGCAGGATGGACCTGCTCTGGCCTTGGCACCAAACTCTCATTAGGAGAGACCCTGCACCAGGCTAGGCCACTGTGGTAAGGACAGCAGGAAAAATCCAGTTTGAACTCGCAAGGCAGCTGCCAAATCTGGAAACCCCTGAAGAAAGAACTTCCTCAAGCTGGTGGCTATTTGGCCCTGGGCAGTGCCAGCTGGGCAGAGGGGGCTTCCTGAGTCTTATTCCCATTATCTCCAGGCGCCTGACTCCAGCCTGGGGACTCACCCAGGAGTCTGATGGCTCCAGGAGAAGGCTGGACACTGACCTAGAGACAGAGGCAGCCCAAAATGACCCTGGGAGAGTTTCCGACCTCTTCCCTACAGATGGGGCTATAGCTCTGCCTGGAACCCTTGGCTCTAGGAGAGTGAGAGAAATAACAGTCAAATCCTGAAGACAGGCAACCCCTGGGGGGAGGGGGAGTGTCTTTCCACACACTGTCTACATTCAAGCCCAGTACTGGTGGCTCACACCTGTGACCCTAGCTACTCAGGAGGCTGAGATCTGAGGATCACACTTCGAAGCTAGCCTGAGCAGGAAAGTCCATGAGAAAAAGAGTCTCACAGAGACTTTTCTGCCCTGACTGGCTTTGAACCGTGATTCTCAAATCTCAGCATCCTGTGTAACTAGGATTACAGGTGTGTGCCACTGGCATCCAGCTGAGCTACAACTTTGAGGAGGAAAAAAAAACTCAAGTGATTCAGGCACCAGTGGCTCACGCTTGTAATTCTAGCTACTCAGGAGGCTGAGATCTGAGGCTCGAGGTTCAAAGCCAGCCCAGGCAAGAAAGTTCATGAGACTCTTAACCTCCAATAAGCCACTCAGAAAACCAGAAGTGGCGCTGTGGCTCACGTGGTAGAGCACTAGCTTTGAGCTGAAGAGCTCGGGGACAGCACCCAGCCCCAGAGTTCAAGCCCCACAATCGACAACAACAACAACAAAATCAAGTGAGAGGTTGAGGCCCTGAATTCCAGTACACACACACACACACACACACACACACACACACACACACAGAGTATTTATTGTAACAGGTATTTTTTCAGCACCTGCAAGCTTATCAATGACCAGATGCTTTCCTTAACCCATCCATCCCAGATAGAAAGTTGGATTCAGAAAAGAAATGTAAAGCACAACCACTAAATCATATCACTTGATAGAAGATGTTAGTACTATGGGAAATACAAATATCCCCAAGGTAAGAGCAAGAGGGAAGGGGGTCAGGGGGTAGGCCAAAGTGGGCCTCACTAAAGATCGACTTTTCATCTGAGATTTGCAGAAAGAAAGAAAGCATGTGGATGCTTCCAGGGGAATGCATTAGTCAGCGGGATAAGCCAATACACAGCCCTGAGGCAGAATGTGCCTGGCATGTGAGAGGAACTACCAGGAGGCCACTGGGGCTGGGGCTGGGGCTGGGGCTGGGGCTGGGACTGAGTGAGACAAGAGACTAGAAGACTAGACCTTATAGGAGGGACTACATAGATCAAGATGCATTGTACTCATGAACTGTGTATGTTGAATGGATAGTCCCTTGTGCAACTATTTAAAGATTGTGTTGTGAAGTTATATAGAAAATATATAAATGAAGTATGCATACATATATACATATGACCCTGAACCTGGTGGGAGCCTAATGAGGAGGAATATGTATGAGGCCCTATAGGCCACTGTAAGAACTCTGAATTTATCACTGGATAAGAATACCAGGTCTGGGAAAGTGGCTCAGTGGTAGAGTGCTTGCATCACATGCATGAGGTCCTGGGTTCGAATCCTCAGCACCACATAAGCAGAAAAAGCTGGAAGTGGCGCTGTGGCTCAAGTGGTAGAGCGCTAGCCTTGAGCTGAAGAGCTGAGGGACAGTGCCCCAAGCCCAGAGTTCAGGCACTACGACCCACAAAGAACTTCGAAGAAGAGAAGGAGCAGGAAGAAGAAGAAGAGGAAGAAGAAGATGAAGACGACAATGACCACCACCACCACTCTGGGCCTGGGCACTGTCCCACTGCATTTCGGCTCAAGACTAGCTCTCTACCACTTGAGCCACAGCACCACTTCCAGCTTTTATGGGGCTGAGGAATTGAACCCAGGGCCTCATGCATGCAAGGCAAGCGCTCTACCACTGAGCCACCTTCCTAGGCCCTCCATGAAACTCTCATCTCCACTAAACCACCAGAAAACCAGAAGTAGTATTGTGGCTCAAGTGGTAGAGTGCTAGCCTTGAGCTGAAGAGCTGATGGACAGCACCTAGGCCCAGAATTTGAGCCCCATGACCAACAAAAAAGAAGAAAACCAATGCTGAGTCGTGACAGAAGAGGATCTGATTTGATCATAACTCTTAAATTTTTTGTTTTATGTGTGCGTGTGTATACACCCCAGTCCTGGGCTTAATCTAGGGATCTGGGTACTGTCCCTGACTCTTTTGCTCAAGACTAGCACTCTACCACTTTGAGCCACATTCTACTTCCAGTTATCTGGTGGTTCATTGGTGATAAGAGTCTCATGGACTTTCCTCCCTAGGCTGACTTTGAACTGGGATCCTCAGATCTCAGCCTCCTGAGTATAGGACTCAAGTGTGAGCCCCCAACACATGGCTTGTCCCTTAGCTTTTGTGCTCAAGGCTGGTGCTCAACCACTTAAGCCATAGCTCCACTAATGGTTTTTGGTGATTCATTGGACATAAGAGTCTCACAGACTGTTCCTGCCTGGGCTGGCTTAGAACCTACATCCTCAGGTCTCAGCTTCCTGAGTAACTAGGATTACAGGTGCAAACTACCAGCACCCAGCTCAGAAACTCACTTTCCAACAACTTGTACCAGTGATAATTGATTGCGAGTGATTTAGAAAGAAAAAGTATCCATGAAGAAAAAATTAAAAATCTGAAAGAACAGAACTGCTTTCCAAACCACAGAAGGCTGCAAAATGCCCAATTCTAAGCACAGCAGGAGCTTGGACTGTCTTAGCCAGAGACCTAATTCCCTAGAATTGCAAGAGGCAGCCTCTGCTACCCCCTGGTGGTCAGTGATCTGAGTCTGAGCTGTGTGGTCACACACACACACCCAACTCTACATGTTGAGCCCAGTGAGAGGGATTGTGGACCTGGGTCAGGCCCTGAAGCTTCTGAGAAGGGAGAGAGTGCCTGGGGTCTGGGCCTCCACCCTGGGAATTATGGGATAAGTTCTGCAGGAATCCAGGTTGAGCATTTAGCAGCTGCCTGAACTTGGAGGGACCCAAAGCAAAGGAAGAGGCCAAAGCCCTAGACCCACTCTGTGTGTGTGTGTGTGTGTGTGTGTGTGTGTGTGTGGCTCAAGGCTAGCTCCACCACTTGAACCACAGCTCCACAGACAGCTTTGCTGGTGGTTAACTGGAGTTGAGTCTCCAGCTGGCTGGTGGAAGCCAGGAGGGAAGGTCGTGGAACAGAAGATGTGAAGTGTCAAAACTAAAACGTAAAAGGCCTCTGGGGGATGTGTGAGGGGCTATCCCAAAGAGTGTCTGGGGAGCTGGAGCTAGGTGTGGGGCACCATGGAGGCCTCGAAGAAGATGCCGATCGGCTGCTGTTCTGGGGAGCCAGAGTCCTGGCGGCCACCAAGTGACAGGGTGGGAGGAAGCTGGGGCAAGAGCCGCAGGGGAAGCACCAAGAGTAAGAGATGGAGAAGTTGAGGGAGGATCTGGCCGGACATGGCTCCTGTGCTGCGTTCTGGCACCACCAGGGGGCGCCGCTGCCCCGCCGAGCGCTGCGCAGCCTCCGGTGGACACCGAAACCGCGCGCTCGGGCCTAGAGAGGCCCCGGAAGAGGCGGGGAAACCCTTCCGGCTGAAGCCACTTCCGGCTTCCGTCAGGGTTTCCCCACCCCCCCCTCCCCTCTCCTGGGTGGCCAAGATTGAGAGGATGCGGTGGGCGGGGCAAGGGTGAGAGACTCTGGGAAGGTGGAGGACTGTGGGGTACGGGGTGGGGTACCGCGCGGGCTGGCCTGCTGGGCTCTGAGGTGGCTTCCTGTGCAGGTCTGGGCTCCACTCCCAGCCTCTTGGGAACTGGGAGGCTGGGTCCCCTCAGACTCCAGCAAGGGAACAATGCAAGACCCACTGCAGGGGAGATGGAGAGTTGCACGGAGGAGGAGAGCAGGTATAGCAGGTGTCAGGGCTCTGGGAAGCCTTTATTTTATTTAATTGTTATGTATTGGTTTTAATTGTTGCCTGTCCTGGGGCTTGAACTCAGGGCCTGGGCTCTGTGCCTGAGCCTCTCTGCACAAGGCTAGTGCACATCCGGCTTCCC